AGTTGGAATATGCTTCCCAAATTTGGAGTCCGAGATACAAAGTCTATATTGACAGAATTGAACGAGTCCAAAATAAATTTATTAAATTCTTATGCTATAAAATGAGTAAGTCTTATAATTCATGCATATAATTTGTCATTAGCGCAGGTATTGGGTTGTTATATATATGTAAGTGCATGTTGTTAAGAAGTACTGTTTATTGTTCGTTTGTTTAATACTCGTGTATGATTTGAAGCTATAGGTGGAAACCTGCAATTGGCTTTATGTTTATGTTCCTGTTTGAATTAAATGTAAGAAGCTGTTGGTTTTCCATGAATAAATAAATAAATAAATGAGTTGCCAGGGATGAATCTATTTCTGGGTATATACTCGATGCTTTTTTACAAGCTTACACATAGCCACAATGTCCATAGACAATGCTTTGTTGGTTCCTACAATGACGTTTGGTATTGAGACCAGAATGGCAGAAGAAGCATGAGAGTAGAATTAATGCAGTGGAGATGAGATCTTTAAGGAAAATTTGTGGAATAAAGTCGAGTGATAGAGTGAAGAATATAATAATACGTGAAAGATGTGGCTTAAAAGAGAATGTAGTGTCTAGAATAGAAAAAGGAATCAGTCGAAAAGGCTGGGATCAGACGTGACAAAAATAAAAGAAGTTGTATGAAAAGGGTAGTTGATGTATGTGAGGCTCGAGAGTTGTGTCAGGATAGAGAAAAGTGGTATATGGTCTCTGCCTACCCCTTCTGTGGGACTAGGGCGTGAGCTTATGTACATATTATATTATGTCGGAACCGTCAGGTTCTAGAATTGAATCTTCAGACATCGTTTGGGCAGATTTAGGAATTGTGCAATGAGATTTTGTTGAATAGTAACACTGTATATTTTAATAACTATGAAATCGAATAACAACTTGTTCTTTCTATTAATTTTAACGACCAAAATATGCACTAGGCGAAACGTAGAATAGTTTCTAGGTAACGTGTGTGCAGCCCGAGAGTCTCACCGTTCCCCACCCAGACTAGGTCGAGGTCGACCGGCAGAGGAAGCGCTCTGTAACCTGCAGGTGGCGCCTGTCTCGCAGTTTTTCGTACTCATGACCGTCCGTTTCCGACATATACAAAATGTAGATATAATTATTATAATATAATAATATAATTATATTATACATAATACGTATAAGAGACTTAAAACGAGCCGGAAACGTTCAATCGTGCATCCCACTCGAACTTGTACTAAAAGCAGTGAAAGATCGATAATTGTCCCGCTCGCACCGTTCTACTGAATAAAAGACAGGTAAACTATCAACGTAGACAGTTCCTAGTTCGTACCGAACTAAAAAGACCGATGAACTATTAAGACCGTGGATCATGAACTAGTTCATGTCGGTCAGTATCAGGAATATATTCCTAACAGTTGATGAACTATACAAGCGCACTTTGAAGTTTCTGGACATTTTTCGTGAAAAGGTGCACCACTTTGGTCATGTGAAAATATCCAAGGCAATAAAGTACTTTAGCAAGAATTTTATTGGACTTTTTCAAACAAATTTGTCGTCGTCCGTTATTTGAATAAAAAATTACGAATATTTTTTTTGTTACTGGCTAAAGTTGTCAAGCATCATCGATGTTTTCATATTCGCAAATATGACTGCACTGTATTGTTAGACGCTGTACATATATTGATTCACGTGACTGTACGCCGTTACACAAGGCGAGTTTTAGCAGCGATGCAGTCGCTAATGATATACCTTTAAGGTGGATTCACAATGCAAACATTCTGGCAATATATTGTCGCAAATTTATCGCGTTGCGCGATATGACCTTGACTTGACCAATCAAAAGCTACGTTGCTTTTAACAGCTACTAAAAATCGCCGTGTTTAATCACTCTAATTCATTGCCCAGGTTATAGGGCTACATTTAATATTTATAATTCAAATAACTAATTTTAAATCACTAATGATTATCATCACAATACTAAAATATTGCTTTAAACGCAGTCATTTTACATTTTAATTAAATAATAAATTATTTATTTACATTTATTTTTAACTTAGCATGTAGTATACATACATAATAAGAATGTCTTGGTGTCCTGGTTTCGATTCTGAAATTCCTAATTAGCACCCCTCATGGAAGAATGGCATAAGTGAAATTACGTCAAAAATGTTTATTTCTCCATTAGACACAGAAAAATATAACCCACATCCTCTCCAATTCTTGTAACTTATCGATTAATATTGTCACTAGAGTTACAAGAATTGGAGAGGACGTGTGTTATATTTTTCTGTATCTAATGGAGCAATAAACATTTTCAATGTAATTTTACTTATGCAATTCTTCCACGAGAGGTGCGATTCATAACCTAAATCAATTTCACATATCCAATTCTGGCCCTTTAAAATTAAATGTGAGCGAAAGAGACTACCACATTTTTAAATGTGACAGTTTAGTTTAAAAATAAAGGGCTCACAGAATCGACACCACCACTGCCATTAAACATACTATTTTGTTATGTGACTGTACTAAATACTCATGAAAATGTTACAAAAATTCAGTAATTAATTTTAGCATACGGCTAACACACGTCACACATTAGCTTTCTACTATTAATAGAAAATATAAAGCTGTGTAAACTTTTTATGGATAGTTACGTATAAATCAAGATCTCGTAAGTTTTTTAAACGAGACAATTGATTTTCAACTTTATTTCGTAACGTGCAGACCTGGCATAGACAAAACTTGCGACTATTCAGAAGATTTGTCGTTTGTCTATCGTCTGTGTTGCTTGTTGAAACAATTCAAGTGACAGCATTTTTGAGAGTAAATTCTCAAAGAAGGATGGCAAAAGCTGCCTCAATAACGACGAAGAGTCGTTCATGGACATTGCTAGTATAATTTTGCGTTTTAGTTTATGCCTAGTTATCAAAATATTTTTGTATATTTTTAGAAGTCGGGAATAAAAAAATTGTAAAACATTGTATTTTAGAATAGATGCAAGTACACAACGCAATTGATTCAGCTCGATCATAGATTATCTAACGCTCTTGTACGTCCGTTTCAATTTAAGCATGATTGAATGTTTACCTACCTGAAGTATTAGTTATTTTATAGTACACACATAAAACGCTATAGCTATAAAATACCTAATCAATTAAACAAAAATGAGATAAAGTAAAAAATAAAACACAATGTGACAAAAATGTTTAGAAAATATGTAAGTGAGAGATTCGAAAGTTCTATTCTGTGTCCTTAATGGCGGCCATTACGAAAGTTAGCAAAGGAACGTTTTGACAAGAGGCCTCTTGTCAATGTCAATGTCACTTTGAGATTGAGAACAGTGCGACCATTTGTGGCAAATTTCTGCCATTTGAGCAGATTTAATTTTTATTCATTTTCATTGCTGCATTTCATTGCTTTTTTGATACTTTGATAATGAATCACAAGTATTGATAGGTCGCCTTAATACACGTTGTCAAAAACACTGGGTCACAAAATACACGGCATGTCGCCATCCTTCTTTGGAGAAGACGTATCTTTTGTTCTGTGCTCATGTTAACCTGCTATAATTGATAACCGTTTAATTTAATAACAACCTAATATGGGCCTAACTTCTTTGTTATGAGTCACTCGGTAGTTTTAAATATACTACGCACTATTTAAAGTACATATTTTAGTTTAGTCTTATTAATTTAGTTCTACACTAGCATGACAGAATTGGACACTTTATTATCCATTGATTATTGTAAAGAGACGGTTGATGCCCCACACCGCGATCTAAACGATGTAATTAATGACATTCGTTCTTTTGTAACTATCTAATTTAAAAAAATACACCATTTATAATATTAGAAGTGTTTTTTTTAGGTTTTTTTAACGATTTTATAATTAGATATCAATATTAGTGTTGCTACACTACTTTTATTACGACTAATGACGATAACTGTTCCGCCGTATCATAACGGCTTACGTAAATAATGGATTCTAAACTAATTCTATAGTTTTAAAAGTGTTGACGGTCATGATTGATGATTGTTTCAAAATAATGTTCTGAGTGTTTTGTCGATTTTAAATGTTGGAACCAATAGTCTGTCCTTTTGAAGACGGAGTAAAATGAGATTTGCAGGGTTGCCAGTTTCCATAAAATTTTAAATAGTCACGTTGTTGTCGACAATTTTATCGATTGATTTCGAAAGAATGCAAAATTTTACCAAAAATGTCTGAATAGTGAATGTTACGACGTTCTAATGACTACTAATTGCATTATTGCCTTCTTTATTTCTATTTTGACTGTAGGACCTACTAGAATTGAAATCAATTTTTATTCATGTACATTGTAACAAGAACAAGCGGAAGTGATTATTTATATTGAATTAAAGTGAAAAGCTTTCAAATATCTTTCCTCTTTGAATTTTTAATAGACATACTTTTAAATGCAGTGTATGTATGTATGAACTTACAAAAAATTGACAATTGAAATGACATAAGTTCATTGGTTGAGAGCATTGACTTATAATTATATGGACGTCGGGTCCGCGCTAAAAAGTGTCCGCACTTGTAAGGCGCTAAAATCGTATACAGAGCGCGACACTCCGCTTTAGTCTTCATTTGTTCTACTGACAGCGCGATACTGCGATGACATTACAATTTAAATTTCGAATAGGTTGACTTGGGACATTTTTTTCGTGGTTTTTGTATTAGACCCGTCGTCCATTTATTTGTAAGTCAATGGTTGAGAGGAATAATGGGCCGACGATGATTCAAATAAGTTCGGTTATTTATTGCATAAGCGTCACCAACATTCTGTCGATAGTCGATAGAATATTTATCGAGTGCAATCACTAACTGCTTGCCAGCGGGCAACACTTTTGGGCAGAGAACTGTCAGGGAAACCCTGTATCGCGGTTGCCATGGACACACACACAAAGACAACCACAAATTAACCCAAACTCACGAGAGAAATGAATGTAGGCCATACAAATATTTCTCCCGGCCTTGGTAACCGTACGGCCACTGAGGCAGAGCAATGAAAAAACTCAACAATTCAAAAAACTATTGTATCGTACAACATTTTAAAATCGAACAAATTTGTTTGAAACGTGAAAAAATCCTATTATATTTAATTTTAAAAAAGACACAAATCTAACTACTTACTATTATTGTATACAACACGACTACAATATGTTTTTTCTTATAATATCTTATCTTAACTAATCACTTTTTTAATTTTTATCGAAGCGACGAGTTCGATACGCTTAGACAGAGATAGCGAAACCGTATTACGTCATCGTACGATACACCATGACAGTTTCCCTAAAAACTCAACAGCTCCTAATAACAAAAAAAAAACGCATTTAAAAATATGTACACAAAAACAAAGTTATCCTACAAATATTATAAATTGTAACCTCGTAAATTTCTTAACCTTTCTTCTAAGTCGTCTACGTCGTCCACAGAGTCGGGTGGCTGCCAGGTGGCGGAAGGCTTCCGCTCGCCACCCGGCGCCATTTGGAAGCTGCCACCCGCTTTCCCGGGGCTTTCGGAACTGTAAATATTATAACATCACGTAAGTTGCTATGATCCTAAGCACTTGTGTTATGGAAATAGAAAACAACGACGGTACAACAGATACCCAGACCCGAGACAATATTGACAAGTTAGTTTTCTACGTTGACCCGGCCGAGGATCGAACCCGGGACCTCATAGACGCCGACACTATGAAAACCGGTACGCAAGTCATGCGACCATGGAGGTACTTGAATATATAAATACTGCAATAATAATCATCTGCGTCCGCGGTCACCTGAGCCACTGCTGGCGAATACCGCCTCTCCCATTGAAAATTAAAAATGGCGTCCAGTTACCGCGCTCTAACGTACATAAATAGCGAATCTGAATTCTATTAACTAAGCAACAACATATGAATTCCTCTCAATAATACAAGGGCGCGGTCGAAATTATTCCGGTTTTCTATCTCCACGATTAACCTCTCTGTATCAAACGCAATATTTTCTGTCAGACGCGCTAAGTCTGTTGATTCTTTCAAGACTTTACTCAAAGCTTATACTCTAATAATTATTATTTTCTTCTATTACATATACATTTCATATATTATCCAATTTGTATAAAAATTAGAGCTTAAGTTTATTTTATTGAGATACTGTTATTTACATATCATAAGTATTTCTCATGTGTATGTAGTTGTATGTACAATACCTATTATGTCGGTTTTCTTATCTGTTTATTTATTTATTGTTGAGTTATGTATTGTTGTCAGTGGCTCACTCGCCCCGGGCTTGCTGAAAATCAGCGCCACGAAACGGTTTAAAGCCGTTTGTGGCTGAAGCTGAGCAAGTTGTCGCACCAGTCGCGACACGCATGACGGTGAATCAAGTACTGCATTATTAATTGCTTTAATTCAGTAATCAGTATCAATTGTTTTAATTTTTTTTTTTGTTATTATTATATCATTATTTATTTACATTCTCGCCTCTCCGAGGACCTAGTTTAATTTTGAATTATTATTATTATTATTGTTGTTGTTCCTCTGTTGTTTGTCCATATGCGTGTCTGTGCTTGTATAATAAACAGTTTACTTCCTTTCTTTCTATTATTAATAATAATAATAGTTTTTTATTTAAGATAACAGGTCCTTGTTAGTTTTATACAAACCTGAGGTACTATGTTAGTTTAGAATTCAATATTTATAAATGTAATAAAATAAAATACAATCAAAATTAAAATAATATTAAATTTTAAAAATTTAACTTTATAATCTAAAAAATTGTAATATTATAATAAAATTACAGAAACATTTTTATATGGAAATAATATAAACAAAAATAAACATTAAAATTGAATGAAAGAAAATGAAATAAATTAAAAATTGCCCTGCAGTTTATTTATCGAGTACAGTTTTTCATGCTGCATATTAATATTGATCTCTCGTTGTACTACTAAAATAATTTAACTAGTAAGAAAAAATAATATTCTTGTTGATTTTTTATGGCATGAAACTAAATGAGCTGCGAAAGTTGATTATTTTGTAGATATTTAGTAAAATTTGTATTATTAATAAACTTGTACAATAAATTGTATTTTTTTAATGAATATCTTGAAATATTGCGGTATACGTATGATGGTATAATATACTTTGTTAAAAAGTTCTAACTAATATATTATATAAAAAATGTAAATGAAATATGGGGTAATAATGGTCATGATTAAACCTACACGTACTCTTTTCGTACATCCGAGCCGGGTTAAAATAAAATAAGAACAATGATATGTGTTCAGGACCGACGCTCTTCGATCCTCTGCTTTATTCTTCCTTCGATATCTTTAAATGAAACTTCTTAATTTGAAGTGGACTGTATATATTCATGTCAATCTGACTTACGAGACAAGTGTTTCTAAGAGTGATGAAAAGTGAATGAATACAAACTAAAATCCGCCCATATTTATACCGGCACGATGTCTCCCACATCGTACCGGTCCTATCAATGGGTCGCTACGCCGCTCGGCCAATCAGAGCTCTCGAATTAATCATTCTGTTCTGGACTCTAGCTCTGACCGGCCAGGCGCGTACGGCCGTCCGTAACAATATGAAACAGCTCCATGGATAATATTACAGGTGCCACTATCATTTTTGCACTCCAAAGTAGCAAAATAAGGCATTTTTCTACGATTTTCGAGGTTTTGTGCGAGATAATTGACACTTCTATAACGTACAAAGCGAAAATGGCGGACTGAGCTCTTGTATGTGGAACTTCGCGTACTGTTGGCACACGTGTCACGCCCTTAGTCCAGTTCTAGTGTATTTATTGTTCTGCGGTTACAGCGTTTCACGTCATATTAATTCAGATTTGTAGTAGCCAGTTCCAAAGTGGATGTATGTATGCATGTAATATTAAATAAATGTCATTGGTCAATTTGAATTTAGTACTGTATTTCACGTGATAATAAAAGAACGTGATTGGACAATTTCAATTTCCAACTCAATTGTTGTGATTATGATATAGCTGTAGAAGTAGATATTGTCGCCGCTATTTTCAACAAAATGTAAACAAACAAGTCACAGTCACCCGACCATAGACGGTTTAGTGATTTCCAATTGTAATGCCAACTACAAATCGATTAATTAATTGAATGAATCAATTTGTTCAATTGAGTCATACTAGCGGTTTTCCCTACATAACCTATATAAGCAAATTTAAAATTTCCGAAATCTTAATTTTAAGTCCTCCTTCAAATCCTTAAACTTAGATAGTCGTTCGATTGCGATTGAAATATTCGATTTACTAATCGGTTACAAAAACTTTAATTGAATTAACCGAATGTTTCTTTTTTCGTACAGTACTATGCAACCATAGACAAGTCATAGATGTATAGACGAAAAATAACCTCACTTTTGGACTACCATTTTTCAAATACAATTTTACGATGTTGTTCAAATAAATATTGTTGGAAAAAATGATAGATATCAATTCGAAATCTTTGAAATGTACGCGAAAGTGTTACTTAATCGATTTATTGAGTGGTTGCTTTAGAATTTTAAGCAAACAGTTTTGTTTACTTTTTGTTGAAAATGGATTGGTACAGACTATGCAACTACACGGGTTTTATGGTTGTAGATTATGACGTCACATCTGTAACAGTATAGTTCTACACATGTGTCACTCACCTGTAATATTCAGTACTGGTGGCAAGATCACTATCGAAATTGCTATTGTCGTCCCTGTTGTAGAGCCACACGTTGCCACCGCTGCGCACGGGTTTGTGGTCGCGGACGAGGAAGTCTGTGTTGTATAATCGTGGCGGGGTTGTGAAGTCTACGTTTAGTTGTTGCCCTGGAATTATAAATATTTACTTATATTTAAAGATAATAAGTATAAATACTACGTACTATTAAAGATTATGAATACAAAAATGGAACACATAGGAAAATTTCTTCCGATCTCGTGGGACTTGAACCCAGAACCATGTTGCACCGTAGCATAGCTCTTACCAACTGAGGCACAGGTCAAGTTACCGAGCTGTCGAAATTCTCCTATGTGTTTTTGTCATAGTACTGGCTTTCGCCATTCGGTGTTGCAGGCGTTCAAAAGCGACGGTAACCGCTTTTAATCAGGGCACCGCATGCTTGTTTGCTGCCTACTAAATATAAAAAAAAGATAAGAAGTTACGTGTTTTGTACCTGGGTGCAGCCGGTCGTCCTGTCTCAGTTCCCCGAAGCTGTCGTTGTTGTTCCACGTCTCGGTGAGGAACTGGCCCGATGGCGGGTACCACGATTTCGATTTGGGTGACTTCGGTCTAGGAGGAACGGGTTCTTCGTCTGGAAATATTGTACAAACGGTCAGCTAGATAGTGTTAACCAAGGCTGTGGGTTACGACGACTTCTGCAGTAGAAGACGCGGATGCGAAGTTTTCATCGTTGAAATCTGCAGATGCGTGATTATCTTTTCAGATTTTTTTATTCTAAACTTTGCAGTGCCACTGCAAGTTCCATGTGCCTGTAATTTCAACAGCACCAATACCCTTCAAAACCGGAACACAGTTATGCTGACATTACTGCTTGGTGGCACGAATGCGGCTCGACATAGGTCGGCAACCAATCTGCGTCTTCCGAATTTCCAATCGCGGCCGTACGCATACCGACGACAGCTGATCCTGGTTTAGATACAACTGACGCAACGGCGCGCGTACAGCCGCGTCTAAGGCTTCATGCAGTCTGGCTAAACACGATCGCATCAAAATGATTCCGCGTCGATAAGTTCCGTGACTCCCTAAGAGTGTTTTTGTAAGCGAGTTTTTTTAATCGTAAGTTCCGCTGACTGGTTCCGTAGCTCAGTTTGACGAGGTTGCTACTTCGAGTCCAGTCGAATCGAAGAATTTTTCAATGTTTGTATCAATAATACGATGACCTCCATAGTCGAGTGTCGAGTCGGTTGGGCCGGGTGTAGTAAACTAACTTTTCTATATTGTCTCGGGTATGGGTGATTGTAGTACCGTCGTTGTTAGCAAGTTCCATAACACAAATGCTTTACTTAAACCATTGACTTACAATTATATGGACGTCGGGTCCGCGCTAAAAAGTGTCCGAACTTATAGGGCGCTAAAATCGTATACAGAGCGTCATTCACGCTTTAGTCTTCGTTTGTACGACTGACAGCGAAGCAAGCAAAATTAGACAGTACTGCGATGACATTACAATTTAAATCTAACGTTTTAGCTTTTTCATATTCCTTTACATGTCACTACGTTTAAATAGGTTGTTTTGGGACATTTTTTTCGTGGTTTTTGTATTAGACCCGTCGTCCACTTATTTGTAAGTCAATGACTTAAACTAAGTAAATAACTAGAAATTTAACTTGCACGTGAGTGCGTGCGTGTGTGCGTACGTGTGCGTGCGTGCGTCCGTACGTGTGCGTGCGTGCGTCCGTACGTGTGCGTGCGTGCGTCCGTGCGTTTGCGTGCGTGCGTGCGTGCGTGTCCGTGCGCGTGTGTGTGGTGGGCCTACGAGTGTGTGCTTAAAATAAAAACTTCCCTTGGGGATCACAGCAACATATGCGATGTTGTCTAAAATTGATTTATTATTCGGTTTTAAACGACTTTTAGCAGTAGCGCCATCTATGAGAAATCTATAAAATTATTTAGTCACCCAGTTCTGTAACCAGCCCTGCCTAGAGATGGGACATCATCTGTTTGTAATTAAATTTGTATTGAATTGGTATTCAATTATTTTTTTTTGTGAAATTACTCCACTAGTTTGTTATAATTAATAATACGAAGATTGAACGCTTAGAAAAAATTCAAAATTCCTTCGATCCTGCCGGATTCGAACGTCGGTTCGCAAACCGTGCGAAACGCAATGTCATCTAAGAATTATTTATTTAATAATAATAACTCACCATCGCCCCACGCTTCGGCAACAGGAACTTTTTGCTTCGCTTTAGTATCCTTTCGCTTCGGGGTATCCTTCTGCTTCGGACTGGAGTCTTCTATGCCTAGTTCGTTCAGTTCAGCTATAATGCGTTCTTCGCCATCAAAAATGAAATCGCGTTCAGAGACTTTACGGTGCGGGTTGTCCGCCGGAGGTGTCGGAAGTTTATCTGGTAACATTAAAAGAAATATTGGGTAAATCAGAAAAAGCAGGTACAAAGCATGCATGCATCGCCGAGCGGTAATGTGAGCATTGCTGCGTTCCGGTTTTGAAAGGTAAGATTTTGGTGAAATTACAGGTTTTTTTATAGTGCCGGGACGCACAAGTCGTTTGCCTGGTGGTAAGCGACACGCCGGTCCATAGGTACTTATCCAATATAATAATGCTTTTAGGGTGCTATTTAAGTTGCCGCGTTACTGTAGTGCCTCCACTATGTTTGCTGAAACTCGTACAGATTGCTTTTATTCAGTTATGCGAAACCGTTATGCCTCACTCCTGACTAGGCTACGAGGCAGCACGAATGTCATCCTTAGCACCCTTGCCGCTAGATGGGACTCTCCGATGGTGAGACGGTACCAAGTCTTTTCTTTTTTCATTATTTATTCGAATTCCGGATTTCCGAAAATGATTTCGCATCATAGGACAAATTACTGACCTAGGAAGTCGAAGTTGGATTTTAAAGTAATTCTAATGGTGCCATGTAAAAAAATTCAGTAGATAACTGATCGGCCTTGTTGCCGTTCCGTCAATATGCGGGGCGCAGTGCGGTATCTAAAGTTAGGGAGGGGCGGAGAGTGACCATCCTCGTTACTTTTTTAGTCCGTGCTTTGGTAAAAGGTCAGTTGTCTACTGCATTTTTTACATGACACCATTAGAACTACTTTAAAATCCAACTTCGACTTCCTAGGTCAGCAGTTTTGTCTTACGATGCAGTAAAACCATTTCCGGAAATCCGGACTTCGAAAAAGTAATTAATTAATATTTGGTGATTTTAATGACTTTATATCGCTCCTTGTAGCTATATCTATACATATATCTATATATGTGGAACATCTTTTTCCGACCATTTTTTATGAGCAAATTATTACCTGAAACTCTTCGGCCGTCTTTCTCTTTAGCCCTTGTTCCTCCACCAGGTGAAGATGGACTAGCCAATAAATCTTTAAGTTCTTGTTCTAGCTCCGCTGCGTCAAAGTCATCGACAGTTGTACTTAGAGCGCGTTCCACCTCGTTGTATGTATCAAGAACCTTAAACAACAAGGGTAATGTTGTGAATTCAACCTTATAACTGAGGGCATAAGATTTAAAAACACACTATGAATTTGAATAAATAAAAACACATATAGCTTTTTCTGAATGGCTTATTGCGATACCAAAACTGGTAGAATAAACTAGATGTTTAAAATTCATTAATAATTAAATTATTGATGAATAATTAATAAAAAATAATTATTTTTTTGATAATGAATATATTAATAATTAATTGGTTGTGATTAAATTAATTGAATGGAAAATAACTAATTAATAATGAAAAAACCGGTGTAAAAAAATCGTTATATCACATTTTTCCTTTAATGTTTTTTTAAACGGGTAATTTTATTACATGTTTAGTTTTTGTAATTTATCCAACCTGAACACCAATCGCTCATTTAAAAAATACGTTTCAAAAACAGAATGCGACAAATCCATTCAATGAGACTAGACGAAATGGCAATCGAAATTTGTCAGTTTTTGTTTCCAAGCTCCTATAATTGATAAAATTGTATAGGTAGTACAATGACACAATACAAAATTTTTCTAACAGAGTTTCGCATGTGGTGTAACTCACGTCTTTTAGATCGTCCATGGTGTCATGAACGGCGTCCTCGTCCAGTCCGCCTTCCTTCATGCCTCGTTTCATCGCTTGGGAACTTGTTCTGAACACAAATCAATGTATTAATTATTATAAATACAATAAAAAGAGCTTCCAAAGTTTTCGAGTTATGAGCGCGTTTAGACGAATCAGTTACGAGCTAAGTGATGATTGTATTTAGTCGCGTCAGTTTGTGGCATCCAGTATATAACAAGAAATAGAGACGAAATAAGGGCCATCCACCCCTGGGAACTTATCAGGCAAATGGACCTCATATCACTTTTAAATATCAACTCACGTTTGCACTGAAATCACAAAATAGAAGCCAACAACTGACCTGTGGGTACGTCTCCGTATATTCCAAAATTATTCTGTATTTATTGTAATAAAGATATTATTTCTAACAATGGGGGCTGTTCCAATTCCATTCGATGGTGTGGGAAAAACAGCAAAATATTTAATTACAAAACAAACGAAATCAAATTTCATCGGTAATTAAATATGTAATTTTGCAATTATCGTCCATTATAGCAAAGCTCAAGTTAAACGGGTCGATTTGAAGTGAAACAATTGACGACACCCGTCAATTGTTTCGAATTAGGACTTGCCAATCGGAGCGCAGTTGTCACCGTAATGAATTGGCAGAATAGTTTTCAAACAAATTAAATAACATTTCGTCTCTATTTCTGGTTATATACTCGATGGTTTGTGGTAACCACAAGTTTCATAACATAAGTTTGAGCTAAGTGCGTGATTTGTTAAGTCAGTGGGAACTTAATTTCCAAGGTCTTTACCAATGATCGGAAAAAGGTGTTCCACATATACATATAAATATAATTATAAGGAGCGACATAGTGTTGTGAAACCCATTAAATGTTAATTAAATAATTACTTTTTCCGAATTCCGAAAACTCTCATTATTCTATTTATGAAGATAAATAGTCGTACATGGGTAAGGCCGTCAAGAATGACACTATTTCGTCTTGTTTAAGTGTTCAGCAGTTTTTTTAATAAAAACTTTAAGTAACTAACTAACGCATGTGCATTTTGGGTAACTTTTGAGATATTAGCACCTGAAGTTTTATTCTCACCTAAAAATGTCAATTGCGCTGATTTTACGTAACAATAAAACTGAAACTAATTTTATTGTCTTACTAAAATTTAGGTAAGACATTAAAATACCGATTAGAGGGGGTTGTACATCTGTTTAGCTGATTTCGGATACGTCAATAACTCGATTTTGCTAAAAATGTCTAAGTCAAATAATCTTCATTTCATAGGTAAGCTAATTACAATTGGAATCATCATACTGATTAAACTCTACTGCTCATTCGTAAGGCAGATTCCCCTGAGGAGAATGAGCAAGAAACTCTAGGGGTTGCTCTTTGTAATATGTATTACATCGGCCATTCTCACATTCGGTGTTCTCAACATAATTACCGTAGCCATCGTTTTTTCTTGCTTATTATATTCAATAACATTGAAACATGAATAACTTTAAGCTTAACTGTCAATATGTCTAAACAGCATTACAATAGACAAAGTAGTTTTCGAGTTATCAAGACACAAATATTTTATGGAAACGGTAATTATATCTAATTACCGCAGCCATGGATACGGTAATCAGAAAGTTCAAATATGTTTAAGAAAAACCGAAAGTTTCTGACACAGTTGAATTATTATTTGTATATACAATATTTAATTGAAACATCTTAGATCGAGGTTACCTGCGAGAGCCTAACGGGTTACTACCAAGGATTTTTGACATCCAAGTACGCAGAAGTTGTATAATAACCTCTAGTATAAAGTTTTTATTTAACAATAGTTTTAAACGTTGTGAATGGCAAATTTTGAATATCAATCGGAATCTTATTATAGAAGCGTATATATTGCCCCTTAAATGAATTTATGACTTTATGAAGACGACTGTAAAGAACAACTAGTTTATTTTTATTCTTCGTATTAATGTTATGTCTGTCACTATTTTTCATTAAAAAATTTAATATTTTTCTAAACATAAATAACATTAAATTTTTATCGAATTGATATTCAATTATTTTTTATTAAATTACTCCACTAGTTTGTTATAATTATTAATACAAAGATGGAACGCTTAGACAAAATTCTGACTAATATACCAAAATCTTTCATAGACATCTCATAGATGGCGCTACGGCTAAAAAGCCGTTAAAAACCAAATACAAAGATCCAACAACAAGCACATAGGAGAATTCGTGAGGTCCGCTGGTTCGTTCCGTGGCTTAATTGGCATAGCGTCTGACACGGTTTGCTAAAAGACGTCGGTTCGAATCCGGCCAGATCGAAGGAATTTTTTCTATCTTTGTATTAATAATTATGATAAATAACATTTTCATAAATGTACTGAGTCGTTAGTGTAAGAATGTTAAATATCTTTAAAATTATTTTTCAAAGACACTCTAGTGCCCAGATTGTAAATTGCCCTAACCGCACACTACAGGACAAAGATTCAAAATGTCGATTACGTTACTTTATTTCGTCACGTTGAACATAACAGCTTACCTGTAAGTGTCAACAATATGCGAGTTCATCTCGACATCTTTCATCTGTTGTAACAGCTGTCTGACGTTGTCTAAAGCGGCCTCGGACCTCAGAGCACGTTTTTCAGCTGTGTGTTTTCTACGTAAGTGGTTTTTGGCCTAAAATACACAATTGCGCATTTATAATAAAATATGATTAGCAACATTCATTTTAGCCATTTTGCTATTTATAATAAATAATGATAACGCACACACTTAATACAGCCGCGCATAAGGGAAACACTATCGCGCGTGTCATGGGGACACACATAGACAACTACAAATTACACCCAAACTCACGAGAGAAATAAATGTAAGCCACACAAATACTTCTCCCGGCCCGGGAATCGAACCTGGGACATCTGCGTGGCAGTGCGGCATGGTAACCGTTCGGCCACGGAAGCACTTAAGTCCGACACTTACGTCGTCAGTTTCCCGACTTATTGTAAGACTACTACCACGTAAAAGGTATGCACACGGAATAAAAAACAATGGAAGTGTTTTAAGCCTCGATTCTATAAAAACTGCTGTCGTCAAAACTTACACATTCATAATTTTAAACACAATGAAATCTTGATGATGATTGGTCGTACTTTCTAATTTAAAAAGAAGTACTAAATATTATTTAAACATTACACTGTTGGCATATCGTAGGCAGTTCCAGACCTGTTATTGCAAGTTACAACATTTTAATTTTATATTGAAATTTGAATCAATGTGCTGCCATCTAGCGGTCAATAGCTGAATGACGACGAATTCGAGATGTTTACTTAGTTCTCCAAAAAAGAAGCGATCATATTGGAGCGGCATAAGGTTTACTTCCGTTTCTTGTAACAAAAAAATATTACGATAAAAAGAAAAGTTTTAACAATGATATTATGAAACTCCACCATGGATATTACAGGTGCGACTGTCATTTTTGCGTTCCAAAGTATAGTCTATAAAGATGGAGTAAACGGACATTTGTAGGGTTGCAAGTCTTCATAAAATTTTAAATAGTCAAGTAGTTGTTATCGGTAGTTTGTCGAATGATTGTGAAAGAGACGACGTTCTGATGATAACTAATAGTGTTATTGGCTTCTTTTTTCTTATTTTGATAGTTGGCTTACTATTATCAAGATCAATTTTTATTCATATAAATTTTAACAAGAATAGGCAGATTTGATTATCCATATTGAATTAAAATATGTCTCCCCTTTGTAGTTTTCATAAATGAACGTAGAAAAATTGATAATTCAAATGATTGGGACGAGTAAAGGGTCGAGGATGATTCTAATGAAACAAGTTCAGCTATTTATTCCACAAGCGTGACCAATATTCAGTCGATAGTCGATAAAATACTTATCGACCGAAATAACTAGATGTTCGCAAGCGGGCAACACTTCTGCGCCATGAACTGTCATTTTACTCTGTGTTCAAAAAAAGACAGACAATAGCAAACTATGGTATTTTTCCACGATTTTCGAGGTTTTCCGTGAAAATTCGGGTTTGTGTCATACTCACAGCAAGTCGGTTGCCCAACTGTAAGGCCGCTTTCGCTTCCATTTCAGCAGCAGCAACTTCTTTGCTAAATCTTGTCGCGTCAGCTTCAAGCTTGCGCTCGGCTGCTATTAATTTTACAAACGCCTCATCTGATTCTGTTATCGGTGACGCCTTTTTGTTTGGTTCAGCTGGAATAAAAATAACCATTTTTTTAATTATATGAACGAAACTAACAAGTCGTGTCATTAGTGGTAAAGTGCAGGCCACACCAGCAGCTTGATTTTGATAGCTTCTCCCGATCGGAAACTGCGTCTTTTCCCAGTCGAGGCGTATAATATTGCGGATGGACTAGGTAGCCGATTCAGGGGGTCTACTCTCGATCTCCGTCCGACATCCGTCCGAAACAATTACTGTCAAATAAGTAATATTCGACAAAATTAAAAGACAAGTATCCAGTATGAAGCTTCATTCGCATCACGCGTCTTTTCATTTGGTCAAGTATTGCTTATTTGGCAGTAATTGTTTCGGACGGATGTCGGACGGAGATAAAGAGTAGACCCCAGATTTGAATCAAAATCAGGGCCCAGGAACGAAGCTAAGATAGCTTAGTTCACGTAGCCGGGGCATCTTTTCATACTTCAGTTCACACCGCGAACTAAGCTAACCAAGCTAACGAAATTGACCCAATTGCTACGGACGGCCGTAGCAATTCAGGAGCTCTGATTGGCCGAGCGGCGTCCGCGGCGAATTGATAGTGCCGGTACGGTGTGAGAGAAACTGTATCGGTACAAATATAAGTGAAAATTATTGTCATTGTCTCATTCGTAATTCATTTGTAATCATGTTCAGTCGCGTTCGATATTCGATAAGTCAGATGGACATAGAAATAAGTTTATGAAAATGTACAGTCCACTTCCTGTATCAATAAACCAGAAGATTTAACTTTCAAACTTTGAAAAAAAAAGAAGGATACCGAAGGCGGTTCCTGGTCCGTTTGAGGCGGATTGGGACAGGGTTATCAACGCCAATGATCCCGCTAAGCTATGTAAAATATGTCGCTCTTCTGCCGCCCTTCGCCCGTCTCACGTATCCATAGTGTAGCACGACACTACTTACTACGATTTTTAACCGACTTCAAAAAAAGGAGGAGATTCTCAATTCGTCTGTATGTTTTCTTCTGTTTGTATGTTACGCGATAACTCCGGCATTTGTGAAGCGATATGGATGATTCTGTTTTTGTTGGAAAGAGGGTACCTCAGTATGTAGTGGTCCCATTTAAATTTGAAAAAATATTTCACCTCTAAGGGTGGGAATAGGGGATGAATTCGTTTTCGTGCAGTACCGGTAACTGGTTTCAACAAAACTTGGCAAATAGATGTAATTCCACGTATTTTTGAGGTCGGTTTTTTTAGTACCCTGTACTGAGATTGTCTTAGCTTAGCTTCGCTCGCGGTGTGACCTGCACTTAAGGGACACAAGCTTTAACCCGTCACGCGTCTTAGATACACACGATGTCCCTAATAATTTTAGTACTATAGCCCCCTAGCGCCTCATGATGCCTCTAACGCGCAGGCGTGTTTTCATCCACCTTTAAAAAAAATATATACCCTGGCAAGATGCAATAAACTACAATGGTACAAGCGCTAAACGCCGAATGTAAATTAAAATGTACTAAACCTATGATTATTTGAGAATATATAGCGCTAAATTTGAATGCGATGATTATTGCGATTTTTTTGCGAAAATTCCATTAGTTTTGTTATGATTATTAATACAAAAAAGTCTGTGGGTTTCCAAAATCTCTCAATAGATGTCACTGGCGGCGCTGAATGCCGAAAAATCCAGTACAAAGATCTATAACAAAAACACATAAGAGAATTTCGACAACTAGGTAACTTGAATTGTAGCTCAGTTGGTTAGAGCAGCGCAACGGTACAGCATGGTCATGAGTTCCAAGTCCCATCGTGTCCAAGAAATTTGTCTATGTGTTCAATCTTTTTATTAATAATCACAACAAAACTAGTGCAGTTATTTCACAAAACAAATCTCAATAATATAATTGAATACTATATTTTCATTATTACGTAAACTGGACCTTAGGCGGTTATAAATATAATTGTAAAAATTTTAAATCTCTAGGATGCATGACGGCTTACATCGCAAAGATCGGAGGGGTACACCACTGCACCCGTCGTCCAGTGACATGAATTTGACATATCGACTGTGAACTGACAACCGGTACTATCTCAATTTAGACAATTTTACAGGATGAAGAAAATAATTGTTTGCGTCCTTTATACAGCATCTGGTTAGAAGTTAGTACAAGTTGAAAGAAGTCGATTCTGGCGCCAAAATTAAATTGTATCTGCGATGGAATTTCTTGCAACGCTGCGGAGCATAAAATAGTATAAAATGGTATTAAAAAGTGAAACCTTTAGAAAATAGAGATAGAACCGGTTGCCAGTTCACAGTCTATATACTGTGTGTCTGTACTTTCACCAGCGCCTTTCTTGTTCAAATCCGAACCCCAGTAATGCTCATATCACTGCTTAGTTGCAGAAATAGGTATCGTGGCAGTAATTCACAGGATGAACTCTTTCATAAGGAGATCTACTGCTACTATGTATATTTAAAATTCTGTGATGACGTATCTTACCTAACTTAACAACATCATCCTTCTTTACAGCAGTGCCTTGTGATACTAAATATCCCAACAGCACTTCAAATGTCTCCCTGCTTTGTTGCCAATTGACATTCTTCATCAGCTCTTCGATTGTGCCTATACGTTCTGCTGTTGGTGGGTAATTCTGTAGAAATGTTGTTGCTTGCTCCTGCCAAAAGCAAAGTTTTATTGTTTGTGCAGAAAAAGACAGAATGGTACTAGGAACATTGTACTCCAAAAAGCCAATAAAACTACCATCCGTGACCTAAATTTTTTTTTTATGATATAAACTAACGAGACGAGGAAGTCGTGCGCATCACAAAAAAATCACAGACATTTGAGGGGCATTGCCAGTGCGCCTATCACCCTGGGACATAAGTAGACAAGTTGTTTTTTTTTAATAATGTTAAGTGACAGGACGAACAAGTCGTACGCTAGATAGTAAGTACACGCCTGTCCATAACAGTTGCAGTGTCACTCGGAGCTTTAAATCGCAAAGATCTGAGAGGCACTGCCACTGCGCCCGTCGCCCTGAGACATAAGTTGACAAGCCCATGTGCCTATAATTTGGCCAGCACCCTTACCCTTCAAAACCGGTAATGCAAAGTAATGCAAACATTACTGCTTGGCGGCAGAAATAGGTAAGGTGGCAGTACCACCCTGGATGAACTCTTTCACAAGGAGCTCCAGTGCTACTAATGAATGTCCTTTAGCTATCAGCAAACTTAGGGCGTATTTATTCGACACGATTTTCATCGCGCTCGCGCCGCGCGGAGACCGCGTTGCCGCCGCGCGGAGACCGCGTTGCCGCCGCGCGGAGACCGCGTTGCCGCCGCGCAGCGACCGCGTGCATCTAATTGTCATGGCAAAATACATTCTATTCATTTAGCCTTTACGTTTTAACTTAAATGAGCATCACATGGGTCGAAACACAAAACTGAAGAAACACAATTCGCAAGAATTTGCGAATTGCGCGATGCGAAGCGCATTCCTGCGATGTTAATCTTCTTCGTGTTTTTTCCTTACATTTTCTTATCAATAACAGCTGTACAACACTCTTTTTACGATCCATGCCGCTACCTAGTTTAAAGAATACGTTCAGTACGGTTGGCGATGGTCGAAGGAATGGTTACGGTAACCATGGCAGTGCCGCACGAAATCGCATCGCAGCAATTCGCGTCACAGCTTTCTGCGTTGCGAATTCGCAATTTAAATGTTGTTGCCTAGTAAATAGAATTCAAATTCGCCATTAACGTACGTGGTAACTGGGCGATCGCCGCGCGAAAACTTTCGCGTCACATAACTGGGCGTTTATCCTTCGAAATCGGAACTCATTAATGCTCATATTACTGCCTGGTGTGAATGTGAGGACTGAACACAAAGTAAGGATCGTCGAGACAAATTCAGCGAGCCCAAACACCAACTGTAAGTAGCTGTGGAGTTGGGTAGTCTGTAGACTGTTCTCGTCTCATTAGAATTCGTAAGTTCCAAACTTTTTGGTTCACCGCCTACTTAGGCAAGAAAAAAATTTCAACGCGGTATTTTTTATATCAACGTAACACAAAAAATAGAAGGAAAAAAAAACTTGTAGTGTAGTTTATATGGATAATTCAGGTTTCTTTCAAATGCGGTAGCACCCCCAGGACAGCATCAACGCCTCCAATTGCTTCCGAGGCCTCTTTAGTGCCCATTTTAGGGTAGGGACCACTTTGGGAAACTATATGTTACGCATGGCCATCAAGTATATGTATAACCAAAAATAGAAACGAAATGTCATTTAATTTGTTTGAAAACTATTCTGCCATATCATTACGGTGACAACTGCGCTCCGATTGACCAGCCCGAATTCGAAACTATTGACGGGTGTCGTCAATTTCAAGTCAATCGGATGAGCATAAGTAAAATAAAAATGTCATTTTATGTCTCAAATCCCTACACTAACTGGCAAAATAGTTGATGATCAGTTGAATGTTCATCAAACACAATTAGAACCATCAAGATTAGCATTCTCATAAAAAAGAAACTGGTCTAAATAAACATAATATTATGTTTTTTGGTGACGCTGACAAATGTAAGAGAATTTTGCGTAAAGTTTTCTCTTTTTGATACTTTTAAAATATCTTTTTTTTGCCAACATGCAATCGGTCTTATGTGAGACCATAAGCAGTTAATTTTTTTATATATTTTGGCATGTCAGGCATACCCTTCCAACGATGGGTTGCCTTATTGTGAAAAACTATTTAGCTAAGTTGGTTGAATCCCAAATGTGTTTACGCTTCAATGTTCTTGTCCATGGTGGTACAAAGCGCTAGCTAGTTTGTTAGTATGAGTGGCCATTCTTTCTTTACAGGACTTAGTTAGCCTAGTTATTTCCTCAATAATTGTAGGCATTTTAAGATATTGTGGTTCAATCATGGACCTCATGTATTTGACAGATGCTGGCAAATGTAAGGGAATTTTTTTGTAAAGTTTACTCTTTTTGATAAGTTTAAAATATCTGAATTTTTTTCTTACCTGTACAACACACTCAAGGACAAATCTTTGTGTAGAATCTATACTAGCTTTGGGCAGTCCATCATTATCAACTGCCTGTCTAGCTGGTAATAATGAAGCTACAGCTGTTAACGCAAAAGCCGCTGGTTTGAACGCCAGTCTGGCTCCCCATCGCACCCAGCCCTCAGGGCCGTTGTGAAGGATCTGTTGGTACTTCGTCAACGGTGACAGTTCGCCGTTTCTGTAAACAACACAGTAAAATTATACAAAATGTATTGCATATCCAGAAACCATATTGGACAGACAATTGCATTGCTCAGTTAACTGCTTGCATTATAGTCACTTATAGATGTGTTCAAAACTGAGACCAAAAGAAAATTTATGTTTCAACTTCATAATAATAATAACTTATTTATTATAATAAAGTATCACGAAGATCGAACACTTAAAAAACTTCATTCGAACCAGCACCCCCATGCAATATGTGCCAGATGCTCTGCCTATCAAGCCACAGGACAATTTTATTGTGCTTCTTGCAGATCTTTGTTTTTTTATTTTTAACTACTTTATTGCTGTAGGCCATCTCAAATCAAAAACATCAAAATCATGGTAGTAAAACATTGTGACATTCAATAAAACTTAAAAATTACAATTATATGTACACACACCAGCACATCAAGCTACACAATGACGCATCTTGTTCCATTGCACTGGAGATGATTTTCGAACAAAAATGTGTAGTCTGATGTGCCGTTGTCCATACATCTCTAGTTAGCCTTTACACCTTTCGTGTTCATTACACACTAAGGGCGCGATCCCTGAGTTGAAATGAAGTTATTCACACATAGAACAACATGATTAACTGTCGTTCACAACTTTTAAAACTTTTTCTCACATTACAACGACAGTTGTCCACCGATAAATAATGCGATTATCTATCATCACGATAAAAATGATAGATAATCGCCGCTGCAAACGATTATATTGTGCAAATGGCAAGGCGGCTGCCATGAACCAATAAATTGTCGCCACAAACTGGTGGCAACAGCGAAACACGACAGTCGTTCAATGAAAAATAAATGTCCATGACATAATGGGAACATGCTCTAATGTGTACAAAAAACCTGTCAAAATAGCTTTTTTTACTCTTATCGATTATCGTATTGGCCAAAAAGTTGATTGCACATAACAGGTTACACAATATTTATTCACTATCATTGTCAAGTATGCAATACTACTTAACAGCTGACACAACTAACAGTTTACAGTCTGATCTGACAACCTCAGTGGCCCTACAGTTTGTACTGTGGGCACGGGTTTAATTCCTGGTTGGATCAATTTGGGAACTGAACTTTTCTAAAATGAACCTGGTCAGGCCATTGGTGTAGTTGTCTGGCATGTCACATTATTAATAGCAATTATTAAAAATAACTTAGCAGTACAAGTCATGTAGGCCATCTCTTTTTTTATAATACAGGTGACAGCACAAACAAGTTCCGCACTTGATGGTAAACTACACGCCTGTCCATAACACTTGCAGTGCCACTCAGACCTTTAAATCGCAAAGATCTGAGGGGCACTACACCCTGAGACATAAGTTTACAAGTCTCATGTGCTTGCAATTTCATCAGTACCTTTATCCCTTTAAAACCGGAACACAGTAATGCTCACATTACAGCAGTACTTGCCTGGATGAACTCTTTCACAAGAAGGTCTACTGCTACTACAATTTTACATTTTCTACCAAAATTGATTACACTCAAACATAATTATAGGAATAAAGAAAACCTCTCAAAGGAGATAACATAAAGCGCGTGTTCATTATCAAAAACGTCAAAACACGCGTGTTTATTTATAGCAGTGCACGTCTTAAACAAAGCTTAACTGTTTTCATGGCTTCAATGCACTTTTCCAAATAACAATTTTTACCACTTAAAAACGATTATTAGGCACCGCAACCATAGAATCAGGTATAAAATGAGTTAGAGATGCAACAAAAAGAATGAGCAGTACTAAAATACACACCTAAACATCTCTTCTATAACGATATCCAGACACGCAGGAGTTCGCCCTTTGCGTTGAAAAGCAAGCTTTGCGTCGCTTGTTGATACTATAGGATCATTTTTGCACTTGCACCAAAGTCTTAGCATTTCAGACCAGAACTTCATCTTCATATCCCAGGACTCCGGATTAGCAGATTTCAAACGAAAAGGTGCGAAAAGCGCATTCATCCGAACATCATCAGACCAGCATGGGGGAAGCTTCGCCTCCGGTATAGTGCTATCCGGCAACCCCATTTTGGGCGCAAAAGTCTATTTTCCCCTCTCAACACTGTCGTTTTGTCTAGTTTTGAAATGATTTTTAACAACAAATTGCACAATGCATCACTCGCGAGGTTTTATTTTTGACGTTTGCTAAGTGAGTGAATGGGAAACTTAAGCGGAAGTAAAAGAGTCGTGGCGTATTTATTCGGATGTTAGAGATAAACAGCTGATCGTATCGATTATTGAAACGAGTTAATACGCGGTTGCAGGAGCGAGACAGATGTGTTGATATTTCACTAATGTATAAGTATAGGGTCAAGAGCACGTCAAGCTTGACACTTAAGATTTAAATCCAACCCTATATATTTCGTTCAACGTTCAACTCAACGTCGTCGGTACCTTAGAAGATGGAAAAAAAAGTCGGTAGACACGTCAAGCTTGACACTTTATACTTTGGACCGTTCTTATCGTAAGCGGCATTGAGTATGTTGGTGTTGTGCTTTTCACCTAACAGTCTCGTATTTAATTAAGAAGTTTCCCAAAGTTTTCTTATAAATTATATAGGATGGAATAAGCTTGGGTGTGCCAGTTAATGTCATGTCAAGTTTCCCATTCATTATAATGCTAACCGTTATAATAATAATAATAATAATAATAATAATAATAATAATAATTTAAAAATTCAAAATTAATTT